AGGAATTCACTTTGGAATACGACAGGAAATGACAAAAGCTTTATTTGATTCCTAAACTCTTTATTTCTCAATGGAGTGCGCGTGGCGAGCTCAGACCTTTTCAGTAGATCCGGAGACTATAACTGTTCCCATCTGGTTCATGGCCAGACTATAGATGGAGTCCTTGTTCCCACTCAGCGACGAAGCTGTTGAGAGAGAAACTGCAGTGAGCCTCCGGGGAAATCTCAGCCAGAGTCGGCAGAAACGACACAACATCAGAGATGAACGAGGAAATCAACCGCTGAATGGCACCTGAAATCCATGGCATCTTTTTCCAGTCTGTGAGTGAATCACAGTAAAAACTGCCGGTTCACACAGACAACAATTCTCTTCAGTGCTGATGCTGTAACTGAGTGAACTAAACTCAAAGTTAGATATTTTTTGTATGCGATGTGCTTAGGGGAAGCCAGATATGAAGGAGGATGCGACATATTGTACGACGCGTCGGGTCTCTAATCATTCAAACTGCAAGACAGCGAGAGAGAGCAAGACTTTGAGAGGTAACAGGAAGGCTGAACCGAGTGACGTCAGGTTGCCTTGCTTTGGTTCGAAATGTTTGCAGCCATTTGAAAATATTAAAGTTAACAAGAGGGTTTATATTTTCTATCTCAAATAAAAAAATAGATCTGACTATATTGAGGACATTCGTTATTTTGTCATTTAGTTCAGATATTGTATAGATTCATTACGCAAAAAGTGAAATATTTCAAGCTTTTTCTTCTGTAATGGTGATGATTATTTATTACAGTTCATGAAAACCCAAAATTATGTGTCTCGGAAAGCGAGAAAATTGCATAAGATTAATTTTAAAAAAAAGAGAATATTTTAAAATTTTGAAATCTATGCACTTGGTCGATGCTCCTTTAGCATGAATTTCTGAATGCGGTGCGGCATGGAGGCGCTCAGTCAGTGGCTCTGCTGAGGCGTAACGGAAGAATGCTTTCCTATCGGTCTTCAAGTCATCAGGAAATGTCTCATGTTCTTTTCGACTCCGTCGATTCTCTGTGGGGTTCAGTCCAGGAGAGTTTGCTGGCTGACCCAGCCCAGGAACGCCACGGCCACTGAAGCAGCTTTCGCTTCCTTCGAAGTGTGGGCAGGTGCCAAGTGCTGCTGGAAAATAAAAAATCAACATCTCTATAAAACTTGGCAGCAGAAGGAAGCATAAAGTGCTCTAAGGTTTCCCAGTAGATGGCTGCATCCGCTGTAGACTTGAAGGAACCCAGTGGACCAGAACCAGCAGATGATATGACAAAGCACCAGACTGGAAACTTCACAATGGACTAAAGCAACATGGATTTTCTGTCTCTCCTCTCTTCCTCCAGACTTGTTGATGTGCAAATAAAGTGCTAGACTTTACTTTCATTTGAAAACAAGCGGACCTCGGACCATTCTGCAACAGTCCAGTTCTTTTGCTCCCGAGCAAAGATGACTCTGACGTCGTCTCTGGTTCAGGAGAGGCTTCACACAGGGATGCAACTTCTGTGTGGGATTTGTCTATGCGTAGTGGCTCTTGATCAGGTGACTCCTGTCAGGAAACCTCTGCAGGTGTTTTGAGTTAATTGGCTGATTAAGGTGTGACACCACAAGTTTGTAATATTTCACTTTTCCACAATATTCAAGGACATTTGAGACATTGAAACTCTGATTTCTATTATCTGCAAGACATCAGAATTAGAAGAAATGACTGACACTGTGTAATGAATCTATTTAATATTAGAGTTTCACCTTCAGACTGACAAAAAAATGTACTTTTTCAAGATGTTCTAATCTTTGTCAAGTACAAAGTTTCGTTTTATCTTTTCAAGGGCACATTCGCTAATCATTCATTTCAAATATTGGAGTTTTGACTGTGAACTCTATCAATTGCTCTGTAAATGACTTAAGAGGATTTGCTATAAATTGCCCTGTACAATTTCAATTGAGAAGCATCATGGCAGGGAGGCAAGAAAAAATAAAATCGAACATTTTATATATTTTTATGTTGTATTTCGTGTAGAAAAATCAATATTGGCAGGTCAACGTTCAGGAAAACACAGATGTTGTTACGCTACGAAGTTCCAATTGACACACTCGTGATTATTCACAGTCAAAATGACATCAGTACTCACTGGTGACCGTGTTGTTGGAAGCAGTGAGCGCCGTCAGTGTGTTCACATCCCAAAGGAAGATCTGCCGGTCCAGACCGGCCGACGCCACTAACTCCTTGTCCTTAGCGTACGCTAAAGCTTTTACATAGTCCTTGTGCGTCCGTAACGTCGACATACAAAATCCTTTATGAGCATTCCATACTTTCACGGTAGTATCTGATGAAGCTGATATCACTGAAAGGAGGAAAAGGTGCATCAGAATGAAGAAATTAAGCACTGAAAGCTATAGACAGCACAGCTGGTTGAATACGGGGTTAAAACTCACATGTTTTTCCATTGCAGCAAAGAACTATATCATTAACCCAGTCAGTGTGGTGCTCCATAGATGCAATGTATGGGTCCTGCTACAATGACAAAGAGCAGGAATTAGGACAGCTCCACGACTAACGACAAAACAGTGATTTTATGCTCTGACAGGACTCGTATGTGATTTAAAACTCTACTTTTTGTTGGTAGACGCTCCATATCCGGATGATGGAGTCTCTCCCTGCGGTGAAGAGCCGGTTCAGAGCAGGGTCTAACTGGAGTGCATTCACTCCATTGCGATTGTACTTCTCCACCTCGTCTCTAATCACGTAGGAAACCTGTGACATAAACAAGACAGAGTGCTCGTTTCTCCTGCCCGGGAAACTTTCTGGTTCAGTCCACAACATCACACCCATTTCAAAGCTGCAGCTCAATGTGTGCGCTGATTTTTTTTTCTCTCTTTGTAACATGGCAGGTTGGTTAATGCAAGAGCTCAATATTTCACATTTTAGGAAAATAATGCAATACGCTGTCGTTAAAACCTAACATGCGTTCACGTTATTGCGAGCAGAGTACACAACATAACCACCGAGCTAAGTTCCAGCAATTAGACGGAGCCGGAGCACCTTAGCTACTGTCAGAAATAAAGCAAGCATCAAAACGGTGCTTAGACAATACATCTAGCGTTTGTGCTGGTTTGCAAATATTTCTGTCGTGATTTGCACTTTTCCTTCTAAGCATATATTTTGTGAAGTCTTTTAGCAAAAAGAGTTAGCATTCAGACGTACTAGTTAGCAGCTGACGCTAACCGCTCACGCAAGCTAAGCTAGCTCTGTTAGCCGGCTTGAGCCATGACTCATAGCCGCAGCGCTGTTCTTGGGAGTCGCTTTTTACCGACACTCGGACGTTTCTAAAACACCTCCTTAAGACGAGAACCCTAAAGTTGTCACTGCCGCACAATCTGCAGACATGCACTTCGCAAAATTTACCTGCACTTTCCTCCGCCCAGCAGCATTTTGCCTGTGATGCGTGGCCATCTTGCATGTTGACAGTCAGTTCATGTGATGCTACATCCGGAAAAAGAAAGAAAACACACACGCCTGGGCTTTCTGGGTAATGTGGTTTGAACTTTAAACCCTGTTATCAACTTTTATGGGGGGGAGGGGGGGGGTTATGAGTAGTTCACCTACCAATGTGTTCGGTAAGGAAGTGGAAACTAATTTAGAGCTTGAATAAAAATAATTGACTGTGGAGTCACAACACTGAGGCTGTTTATAGAAAGGGACAAATCAGAGCAGGGGCGGATCTACAAGGGGGGGCGAAGGAGGGAAGAGAAGAAAACATATATTTTTTTTTTTTGTCCAGAAGCCTTTTGTAGTCTTTTAATTAAATATTAATTCACAAAAAATGTAATTATAAGATTGATCTTATAGGTCCCTGGAAAACTTAGTTATGACCATGCATCAAATAATGTCCCATTGAAAAGATACAAAAATATGTATATACCTTGACAGCATAAAGTGAGTGCAAAAATATGGCTATAAAATATTTTTTAAAAACAAATTCTTAAAAAGTAGAATGACATTAAATCTCTGAAGTTTTGCTTTTGACAGCCACTCAAAACATTTCTCAATTTTGGTGAATCCACCTCACAAAATAAGTTAAATTTTATAAAAAATCTTAGATCTTATAAACAAACTTGATTCCTGAAGTCCTGGGAATGCAAAACACACCAGCAAAAGCTCTCAGAATGAGGCTCTGGGATGCTTAAGTACAGAGGACATTTTAAAGATAATAATAATAATAATAATAATAATAATAATAATAATAATAATAATAATAATAATAATAATAATAATAATAATAATAATAATAATAATATTTATTTTGGCAGATGAGACAAAAGACATGGTCAGTTTTAGTACAGATTTGTGAATCCAGTGGATAAAAGAAACACTTAAAAACTGAAAACTTTTACAAATAGTTTTGTAAATGAAGGGGCTGAACAAAAATGCACACAGCAGTTTTCAGAATTATTTATTTAGACAATAAGAATAAATAATCCAAATAAAATTCAAGCTTAACAGCTTGAGGTTTGTGGTTGTATAATGTGTAAAAGCTCAATGGCGCTTTTACAACACTTAACATCTGCCAGATGTTATCCAGGGGCGCACCAGTCTGTTTTTGGCCGCTAGGGGGAGTCCTATAACCTTACAGCTATACATGGACCAAAGTGCGTAAAACAGGGTAATCCAAAGCTTGAACACTTCCCATCCTTTGAAACACACACACGCACGCACGCACGCATACACGCACGCGCGCGCATGCTCCCCCCCAAAGAAACTCGGTGTAAAATTCAGAGTGAGGGAATCTGACTTCTAATTAAGTTTTGAGAGGGCGGTCAAAATTATGTGAGCTCCCCAGTATGTTGTTTCCATGTTAAATCAGAGCTTTATGCAGCATTTAGTAGGTCATAATAAACAGTTTCAATCAAAACACAAGCACAGGCTAAAAAAAACAACAAAAAAACATCAACAACAACAAAAAAACATATGATGCATATTTTGTGAAACAAGCCCACTAGTTTATATGAAAAGCATCATACAATGATTGGATTGGATTAAATGAGATTACATGAAAGCGGCCTATTGTGGTTGTAGTAGGCTGATATGCAACAGCAACACCAACTTCAGCTCTGGCTGGTAAACTTCTGACTTGTGAGCATCCCGGCGATTCAACTTGAGCATCCCCCCTCCCCAACTTGTTGATGGGCTAATACTGCCAGCTCTCTTAGCCTACATCCCTGTTCCGTGTTTTAGTGCGGCATGATGCGCCCACAGGAGCAGTAATCCTCTTCTGTGTAGCTGCTTCCTCCCTCATGCTCTCTCTTCTGCTCAAGGGCAAATCGAGGTGCGCCTCTGGCTGCCGCCGCTACGCACTGCTGCTGAAGACAGCGCAGCGTCCTCTGCGCTCTCCGCGGGCTCCTGGGACCTTTTGTCGTTTGAGATGAACGCAGAAGAAGCGCCGTGTGAAAGGGGCCAGAGCCGGTCCAGTTGTTTATCGCACCCCTGGCAGCAAAGCCACATGTCGGTGTTTGCTTGGACAAGTGTTTTTTGAGCGCGAAACTTTGGACTGTGGGGGGTCAGCTGTCTCCGCTCGGATGACTGGGGGAGTTTTGGGTTCGAGAGGAGATGCGAGCGTCGACGTGAAGACATGGATATTACGCGGAGGGTTTGGTCGTTCTTCCTGCTGAAACCCGAAGAATTTCACTCTGAAAACGATGCTTTAAATCTCGGAGTTTCGTATGTAAGTATTAGTCCATGTCAAGATTAATATTTACGTGTAGGCCAGGGAAAACGTCCTCTTAATGCCCAACACTTTGTTGTTGTTATTGCTTTGCTTTATTTTTATTCACATTTATTTTCACATACATTTAATCATAAAATCAAACAAGTCGAAGCTAAAGTTAAATGCACCAAGTCTGGTAATGCTCAAGGCATATTTAGTTAGCATTTTAAAGTTGCTCTATGTTGAGTGATCCAGTAGTTTATCTTATATACCGTCTCAAACTAAAGCTCCTTGCATCCATCTTGTTTACTCTTTGACTGTCAGGGAAAATGTTTTTTTTTTCTTGACTAAAACAACTGCTTCTTCATTATTATTATTATTTTTTTAATTTAACAAGCGTCTTGTTTCGTCGGCTCATTCCTTCTGAAACTTGTGTACTTAAGCTGTCTGCAATTACATTAAAAGGTTTCTGCCAGAGAAGTAGGTCATCAGTTCAGGGCAGACCCGGCTGAAAGTGAGGTCGAATCGCTCCTAACATGGCCAAGTGAAAACTCACTGTCGGCTTACTTTGACATTTTCTGAATTCATAAATAAGGCTTCTGGATCCAGGCTGCTTGATTAGAACAAAATGTCTCCGCTCTTTGATATCAATAGTGATAAAACTTTTACCAGACCTGAAAAATGCTCATAGAAGCAACTTTTGTTGTCTTTTTTTTTCCAGTTGTGTCACTGCAGTCCATTGCTAAAGAACTTTTCATGTTTTGTCATTGTTCAACCATTGTCTCGTGATACCATCACAAAGTGTCGCATAATTGGGAAGTGGACAGAATAATGACGCATGGCTGTGAAAGATTTTGTCATAAAAATCTGGAAAGTGCCACTAATTGAGACCCCTAAATGAAGTCTGGAGGGTTTGATTCTGAAACAGTACTTCAAAGTTTGAACAACTTACTGAGCAACATAACAGCAGACCTAGAAAAAGAGTGAAAGGCGGATGTGCAGACCTAATAAGACATGGCTGACACACTGGGCAAAGGAGCGCATTAATCAGAGAAGCAGGGGTAAATCTGCTGCAGAGATTTATCCATACCAGGGAGAAACCGTTGACATGACAACTGGGAGTCCTGGATTTACAAACCGAAAGAACGACAAAAAGAAAGTCATTGTCGAAAGAGAGCTGCGAGATAAAGTTCAAACTACGTCGTACAAAGCAAAGATGAGTTCAAAACTAAAATGTAAAATGTCTGAAGATAAACTGGATCATCTCAAACATTTGTTAGTTTAACAACGAACAAAAAAAATGAGAAGAAATCAGGAAAGGAGCAAATACTTTTTTAAAGCATCCAAACCTATTTCTAGTCTCTCAATACTTAATAAATAATATTTTCCTTGAGTCCAACTAACACTATTACAGATCTGAGACATGAATCTATATAAATTGCATTTTGTGGTTCTGCAACCCACAAACTAGTGTTTTTTTTATTAGGACAGACCAACACAAAGTTACACATTATAGTGAAGTTAAATAAAAATGATCATTTTTGTTTGTAAATATTTAAACCAGATAAATTAGGTGTTTGTAATCACACCTCGTTTATTCTAACACCACTAAATAACAAAAGATTTCATTAGAATGAAGGGTGAGGGTACAAAATGTTGATTGGAGCTTTGAACCTTTCACAGATTTCACTTTTATTTCATAAAAGTAAAACAAGTTTAGCCTAAACGTAAAACCAGAGCCACAGTTGAATAGTCAAAGTCTGCAACTGAATCCATTTAGGAACCTTTAGCCTTTTTTTTGCCAAGATAAACAGGTAAACATTTTTGTCTCTATATGTTCGTGCAAAGCTGTCAGACTTTTATCTTAAAAGATATGCAGCTGTTTCATATGAATTCTCCCCAAAAAACACCTTGAAATATGACTCTAAGATGTAAAAAAAGCAAAAAAAAGCAAAATAAAATCCACATTTCTTCTCACAAATGCTGTTCGGATTATAATTACATAGTGGTTACACAAGGAAATAGTAAGTTTTAGGTTGTCCAGAAGGTCTTTGTTTCCATATTCAGAACATATTTCTGAAAACAGAAACATACTTTTCTCAAAATTCAAAAACAACTAAATAAACGTATGTCAGGACTCTGGCTCCACATAAACAAATACATTCTCTTTTATCTTGTAGTATCTCTGAGAATCTCATACTTCAAATAGCTATAATCAGATTGACAACGCAGTAAAATAAACGTTTGCTACTTGATTGAATGAAGCCAAGAAAGAACAAACTAGATAAAAGTGGAAAGAGAAATGTTTATCTGATGGAAGGAGTGATGATCACACAGAGAAATATTATAAACCCGTGTTTTTTCTTCACATTTTGATGATTATGGCTTACAAATAATAATAATGATTAATAAATTCAGTATCTCAGAATATCAGTGTTGTAATAAGTTAAATATACAGAAAGTTGAGTGAAAGAAAAAAGTGGGGCATGAAAAGGTACAGCAGGGAAAGAAATTGCAGCAGAGATTATTGATGAAAAATGATCAGAGGGGGCCTTGGTTCCCCCTCAGCCATCTTTAGGGACACCACTGCACAACAATGCCCTGATATCAATCTAAACATGTTGATTCTCAGCTTTAACAGTCAGACATCCGGCCCCAATGTTAAAATCCCGCCTTCAGAGTCAACGAATGCCCGGAAGAGAAAGTTATGGAGTTGGAAAAAAGCAATCTGGTGTCGACGTAAACACCTCCAGACATTTACAAAGGTAACCGTTTACACTGGAGATTGGAGGAAAATGGAAGATCCAGTTCTTTATATAACCACAAAATAATATTAATGTTAACAGCAGCAGCAGAGATCTTGTTTGTTTATGGAAGTACCTGAGCAGTGCTCTGCCGCACAGCTGCGCATCCGACCTGCCCCGCGTGAGAACAGCGCTGCGATTGGCCCAGCCTGCTGGAGGCAGAGGAAGGGGGCAGATGTACTCTGCCAAAGACAGAAGACATCAACTCTCAGAGGAATTTCTAGCAGAAGAGTTCCTCTGCCTTTCAACAAAATGGCTCTCCTCTCATCTTTAGACTTCATGAGGTACAGGACTGGGATTTTATCAGATGTGAAAAAAACAAAACAAAATCAACAAATAAAAAAAACAACATTAGACATGCAAACAGGTCAAGTTAAGTTGAATATTACACAAAAAATGGGGTGAGATGAAGTGGAAGCTGACAGATTCGTCTTCTACTTTTTGAGCTCACAGATGTTCATTTGTGGGAAAGAAATTCGGCTTTAAACACCAAGAGTTAGCTGTGGAGCTACTAAGATCAATCAAACAGCCCTATAGTCTTTAAAACTGTTGGTGGTATGTTATATTTGAAACTTTTGCACAAATTAAGATAAAATGAAACTGGAAAATAAATACCATTGCAGCAGTAGTTTTTAAAATGACATGGCATTTATTATTTGCTGCCTCGGGTAAGCTTGTTACAGTAGTGGAATTACACAAATAAATAAAAATGAGCTTGATCATTTCCATTCATTTTCATTATTTTATATTTACTCATTTCCAAGTAAATAAATTTTACAAAAAAAATATATAGTCGCGATATCATGGTGCTAATTTCAATATTTGAGAAGAAAAGATAAGCAGACCTGTGCATTATTAGAAATGAAACAATCGTCACAACTCTTGATTTCCCAGAGAAAGATTTCAAAGATCGGAATGAAAAATAGAATAATGCAAAAGGTAAATAAAAAGAAAATAAATAATGATAAATACAAATAAATAAATAAAAGTAGTCAAACTAAGAAGATAGTGTTAAATAATGGTAAAGTGTAACTTTTATAAAAGAGTAGATTATCAGGGTGGTTTTGTCAAGTTTGGTTCCTTTTGGATCGTCTGAATTTCACATAACTTACCCAAATTTGCCACCAACAACAAAATTGTTCAGTTTTGTAATTATGTGTATATTTTTCATGATAAATATTATATCCAGTCATCTAGGTCCAGTTTGTCCTGTAGTAACCATTTTTATTAGAATATTTTTTTCCTTAATAAATTAGTCATTAGTCTGTTTCTTTTTGACGCCTCTTGATTCAATCTGCCAAACTGATCTTGTAGATAATGGCCCATCTATCTTGTAGCGCACCGTTCATCTCTTTCCAGTAATCTTTTGTAATTGTCCCGAAAAGCATGATAATTTCCCATCTGATGATTCATCTTTTTTGAAGGGCAATTTTGTTTACAGAGACGTCATGAACATGATTTTTGATTTTCTCCTTTATTTTGTTGTTTTTGGTTGTTTTTTTTATCGGATGTGTAAAATATCTTCCATTTCCCGAGTTTTTTTGTTGTTTTTTTTTACAAAGTTAAAGTTTATTTATCTATGAGAGGGCAAATTTGCATTATTACTATACCATTATCAATATCTTACTCAAAAGCGACAGTATTATCGTTTATCACAAGAACTGCTGGGACAATTTAAAATTTGTGATCGTGACCGGCCCAGCCTGAGCAAAATAAAACGACTAAGTTGCATTCATAACTTCCTCAAACAGTTGCTCTTATCGTGTGCTCTGCTCCACTTTGAATCTAATTATATTAATTATTCAAAGCGATGATGACCATATCACATCTGGCTGTTATGGGAATTAAATTTCATTCAACTAAAACACTCTTCTCCTCCTCCCCACTCTGCTGAGTTTAATACTGTACACGTCCTCCTGCAAGTAAGCTGTGCACTCTGGCAGGTCTGCTCTCTGTGCATTTCAAAGTAGATTAATTATACACTTTAACAGTATGTCGTTGCACAGATTGGATTATCATCACCGGTTGGTTGCTGTGTCGCTTTACTTTTACGAAGCAAAAAATAAAGAAATAAAAAATGCCGTATATGTGTTTCTCTTGCATGACGCCGTACCACCGGGACAGAGAAATCATTAGATCAAACGTGTTTTATCGACTTTGTGACATTGAGAATGCGCGTCGCGACAGCAAGCGAGACAACAATGTCACTGCACGAGATGAGCCGATCTGGTATCAACCTGGGCCAACTAAGCAGATCAGCGGGGAGCAGATAGCTAGCGTCTGGCTGAACGTGTGAAGGGATCAATGCATTTCAGGAGAGCAGGAGATGGAAGACCAGGAGCTTAGGCCACATGAAAGGGATACAATGGGCTTTTCTGTGTCAAACGGGGGAACACGGAAATGTAATCCTCTCTTTGGAAAGCTTTCCCAGTTATTAAAATATCACACTGTCCGTGGTTCAGATTCTGGAGCAAATTTGTAGTAGTGGAAAGCATTTTCATATTGGGTTTTTTTTTTTGTTTGTTTTTTTTTTTTTTTAGATTACATTGTGGCTTTTCCTCATAACCGTAAAACATCAAAGCTGTCTTAAAGCCAGAAACCTGGTTTCTCAGAACAACTAAACACACGTTCCACTTTCAGGAACAAGACGTGCAGATTTTGTTGGGGCTGCGCTAGTACCACATTCTCCGGATTATAAGTCGCATCATTCAAAAACTGTGTCATGTATAAGTGAAGATAAGTCACATTTATTTAGGAATTGACAAACGTGAGAGAGACCTTGTCTGTGTCTTGTGACAGGTCGTGTTCAGTTAGCTGATTTTTCAACTTTCAGTTTTTCTGCTGAGCATTTCACCAGCAGAGAGAAGCGGAGACGCATGCAGTTTAAATTGCATGAAGTGGTAACATAAAGGCCAGCCTGTAAGGAGGTTTGTTCTCTTTTTTGTTTTTTCGAAACAGCATGTTCTTTAAAGGGGAAGTACTATGTATCTTCCAGTGCAATCAAATAACTATGTTAATTACAGTTAGAAAATGCTATATTACTCTGTTAACCCTTTAACAACGTTTGTACCATTGTTGCACTGAGAAGTAGCTACTATAATGAGCTCAGCAGATGAGCTCAGTTCCACCCAGTGTTTGCTAATTGCTGCTGGCTAGTCTGAAGGAGCTGAGTAGCGGAGGGAGGATTGTTCTGTGAGGCAGAAGCTTGGAAACTGCATCTCCTAGGACGAACTGCGCCTCGAAGGCGGTGCTAGGTCCACCCAGACGTTTTACACAGCTGAATGGTTGCCATGGGAGATTCAAGGATTTCTCAGACATGCATGAAAGAATCAGGCAATACTCCAGGTATGTTTTTGATGAGGGAATAACATTATAACTTGATGTAAAACTGAGAAAATGTGCAGTTGTTTATACGTAGTCTTGCTTTCAGCTCACTATGAGAGAAATGGTAATGTTTAATCCTTGGTTCAAGTCTGTCAATATGGATTAACATTTAACACAACAGTCAAAAAATGTGTCACGAAGAGGAAAAACAAACATATATATATAAGTTGCACCTGACTATAAACCACAGGACCAGCAAAACTATGAAAACCTGTCTGACCTACAGCTGGGAAAATACAATACTTACCATGTTAGTTCAACTGACCAGTAAGCCGTCTTACAGCTCAACCTTTAAGTGTAGCAAAGGGAACAAAGCAGGTTGACATCTTCTAAGTTATCCATCTACTGAAGCTTCCATTGTCTACACCCACTGATTTGTGCTAAGTTGCAGAGGTCATTAGGCGAGAGGTGGGGTACACCCTGGGCAGGTCGCCAGAGACACACAGGACATACAACCATGCACACACACAATTCAAAGAGAAAATTTGGGATTCAAACCCATGACCTTCTGCTACAAATGGTGCTACCAACTGGGCCACCGCGCAACCCACATCCTCTTCCTATCTCAGCATATCTTGGAAAATCTCTCTTCAATATTTCTGACCTTTTCTCTGTCTCCCTCAGAATAAGTAAATTCTAGTACAGGACGATCAGGATGAAAAGATGGCAGCCATGCTGTTACCAACGGGTCCTGACGGCTTGCGGCGGTTCACTCGCGAATCCCTGGCTGCCCTGGAGCGGCGGGTGGCGGAGGAGCAGGCCAAGAGATCCAAGGATTGCACCGAGGCTCAGAAGAACGCCGAGGCGGCCAAACCCCGCGCCGACCTGGAGCCGGGCAAGCAGCTGCCGCGCATCTTCGGCGACGTCCCTCCAGAGCTCGTCGGGGTTCCACTGGAGGACATCGATCCCTTCTACTACAAGAACCAGAAGGTGAAAACTTTTAAGATTTTTTTTTTTCTCAAAGTGAAGACAACAGCGCTTATCTTTCTTTCTGAGAATATTTTCCCTCTCAGCTAAACAACTTCTCCAGTTCTGATGATGGGCTGGAAGCATTGAGTTGTAGTCAGATAGTCAGTATATGTATTTATTTGGTAATTTTTTATATTTCCATACACAAGTCGAAAAAGAAAAACCACAAAATGCTGAAAAAGAAAAAACACAAAACTAGCACTATAATATTTAAATAATGTTTGATAATCCTCTTGTCAAACATTATTTAAATTCTTGTCAATGCCATGAACAAAAAGTGTAGACCAAAACATAGTGCAGGTAGAAGCATAAACTTATTTTACTCTCACTTTCTTATAAATGTAAAACTTAAATGACAAATCAAAGCAGCAGAATCTTTCCTGCATATTTTTCTAATATCTCCAAGGAATTCCAGCTGCTTGTAGACAAACTAATACAAGAGTGGATTGTCAGACGTTATTGTATTTGTTTGTTTAGCAAATAATTTTAATAATCTTCTTTAAGAGTGAAAAACAGTTTTCACCTCACAATTATTCCACTCTAACTGAAGGATAATTGTTTTTAAAGTTAGCCTTGACCTTTAGTATTTTTTTTTAACAAATCCTCTCTTAATTCATAATTTATTTCTTTAAATTCGAACCACTTTTGTGTACAGCTAGGAATTACACTAACCTTATAACAGAAACGAATCATTATACGTTTCAGATCTTTTAGATGTTTTGCTAACTTCTTCCCAGAGCTAAATAGAAGTTGGCTTAGCCTAGCGATGCTGTGCTGCCCATAGATATGCCTGTTTAAAAACTGTTTAACAGCGGTCCATCGGTGCATATTGCTAATAATAACCAACCAATAATCAACATTTCCGGCAGGTTTATAAAGTCAGTTGACCTCCAATGCTAAGCACTAATTACTATTTCTGGATTTTAAAAAGAGGGAAAAAGAAAATGGAGAAAGAAGCGCTTCAGACGTCAGTCTCTGTTTTCCCAGGTAAATCGCTGCTTCTTCAAATTTGTCATAGCGCCATATTTGGTCTGATGCCCGTCACGTTGACCAATCACTGGACACCAAATAGAGAGTTCTTTATTTATTTATTTATTTATTTATTTATTTATTTTTTTTTTAAATAATGAAACTCTTTGGCTACAGCAGCGTAACAGAATTTAGGATTTTCTTACTTATTTTACCGTTTTGCTCTCAGTGAGTGATTTGTCACAATTCCAGTTGTTTTATTGGGTTTTTTATTAAATGCTTTAGATATGGCGAGCCACTTCTTTACGACTGAAGACCCATACCCAAATATGAATATTCTTCCATCTTTCCAATCATGAGGACCGATTAGGAAAATGTTCCTTTGTGTCTCCTCAAATTTATTCTCTGGGTTAAACAGGAATATCTTTAGTTTATTTTATTTTTTTCTATTTTATTGTATGTAGTTGTTTTTAAATTTAGAGCAAGATGCACATTTTGTTATAAAATATGAATTTATTGTATGATTTTTCACACATCTCAAACCAGGAGAAAACAAACAAAATAAAAAGAGGAACGTTGTCAATCCAAATGATGCACATTAACAATCCAACAACACACACAAAAAAAAACAATATAATTAACATGAACTTGTTAATATAACCCAGACATAATTTTCCCCTTTTTAAATGTTCCACATTAGTTGATAAATAATAACTCATTAAAGAAAGAGTTTCATTTTGAAATGCATTTGGAGTTGCTGTCTTAGTGTCTAACGCGTAATAAGTTTCCACTAATGGAAGAATCAATAGAAACCTCCCTTTGGAGAGGAAATGTTAGCGATCCTTCAAATCATTTCTTCGTCGCGGCTCGCCGTGACTAAGACGGCCTCTCTGCGTCTCTTTAGATCTCTGTGGATTCTGAAATAGGATTAGCAAGTTTTGATTTGCTGAGCTGGTGGATCAGGCTGCCGCCCATTAATGGAGAGATGAAAACAGGACATGGCAGCCATTCTCAGGGTCTCTTTGTTTTGGCATGTGATGCGCTGCTGGATGGGAGGATTATCCAAAGACCTGGAAATATTTAAATAAATGCCACATCTGTTGGGGAAACATTCCGTCCGCTTTGGAGTTGCCTCCATTATCTCAACTTGCCCCGATGACTGCCTGTGGTGGAAGTTAGCACAGATGGCAGACAGAGAGATTGAGTCAACACTGTGCTGCTGCTCCCTCTCGGTAAAACGGAAACAGCTGAACAGCTGCTGCCGGCTGACGTGCAGCTTCTCTCAGCAACATAGCACGAGAGATTCGCTACGTTACAATGTTTGAAAATGGGATTTTTTCCCCCCACATTAACACTGGTGTTTGTCTTTTGCTTCTCTTTGCAGACTTTTATAGTACTTAACAAGGGGAAAGCCATCTTCAGATTCAGCGCCACGTCTGCACTTTACATATTAAGTCCATTTCACTTCATCAGATCGATTGCCATAAAAATCTTAGTCCATGCATATCCTTTCTGAATGCCTTGTTGGTGTCCGTGTTTGTTGACTTTGCCGTTTTAGGTTAGGTTTGGAAGATGTTAGGACATTGTTGAATAAGGTGTCGTCTTAAGATTGAGGGTGAAAATAGAGACAGTCGAGGTAATAGTCACTACGATTTGACGTCTCACCTGAGTTAAAGTTAATATGTAACTTTATCTGCCAGATAGGCCAGTTTCTAGTATTCAGCAAATTCAAACTCACTGGTTTGTATTTCGCTAGCAAGTGTGAAATGGACACGTTTCTGATGAGTACGAGACAAAAATACAGTATATGTGGCAAGAAAAAAAACAACGTTGCCTCGTAGTTTCAATGTTAGTTTATTACTCTACAGTGACTACATTATTCTGTGTTCTGGTTCACTACCAGCTTATTTTAGAAAAACAAATGCTGTATTGTGTATTTCTCTGCCACTCCACATTTTCCTGAACCATTGCTACGTTGTTTAGCTATTTCATAATGTTCACCATCCTGACCAACTGCTTCTTCATGGCCATGTCTGATCCGCCAACATGGACCAAATACCTGGAGTAAGTAAAGCTTTATCTCTCTCCGCTTTTCGTGTTTTTGTTTGTTCATCCCAAACGTTGCTAATGCAGAGTTGCCGGGGTCTGTTGCTTTATCAGAGACTCCTGCAGAATTACTAAAAATGTGAGTATATGCAGATGTGGTGCATGTCGTGCTTATGGCACTCCTGAACACTACGTCGGCATGCCGTGGAATGAGAAGAGCTTTGAACGTGTTTCAAGGACTTTCCTGCTGTGCATGACGTGAAAGATTCAGTGGAAACGTTCATCATCTGAGGATTTTTACGTTTTTGTTGCAGCCTCAACAATTATATGAAGCTTATTCTGAGAGAAAATGTTTGATTTCTTCCCAAGGAATTTGATGAAAATAGATCATCTGCAAATATTATAAAATGCTTACAAAAATACACAAACGAGATGCTAGAAGTTTCCTTATACCCACATCTTTGGCAAAACCTGAGGCTAAAAGTTTTAATGTCTAATTGATTCAACTTCTGTCAGCAACAGAGAAAACTAGTAGATTTGAAAGTGAGATGTGTAAAATGTTCTTTTTCTGATCATCTGTCACTTCCTGAAAAAAGTGAATGAAGTTTGTACTTTTTGGTCATTGCCAACATTGATAGTTTTTTGTCAAACTTCCCTGCCAGACCAGAGGATGATGACAAAATCACAGGTGACAACTATTGATGACCACAAAACCCCCATTAAAATACATTAAACTCCTGCATTTATTCATTTAAATTTTTTTTTAAGTTGAACAAAGCTACTAATAATTTTTATTGATTTTCTGTTTTTCCCAGGCTGCCTTAGCTAGGTCTTATTTTCCCACCGCTCACAAGCCCTTTGTTGAGATGAAACTTTTTCAGATTGAGCTTTTTGGTTTGGTCTGGTGTAAAACAATAACCTGAATATTTGCACATATGTCCACTATTGAAGGGGCAGAATCATGAGTTTTCCAGACACTTTGTGCCATTCTATCGCACAATCAAGTAATTGACCCCCCATCTCTGAAAGTTGAATACATCCTCCATCTTTACTGCTTGATGTCTCAGATTTGTACATCGTTTTCCAGAAGGTCGTTGCTAATATCCTATTCCTATAAAAATAAAATAAAATGCTGTGGATATCAGATGTAGAGTGAAAATTAAATCTTTAACAGGCAATACAAAATGTATATCTTGCACGGATCTAATTAGCATTCTTTAAGTCATTAAACTTTACCTAGCTTAAATTAGATTTACAACTAAATGCTCGGCTGCTGGAAGAGGCTTCATGCTTTCACTTTATTAATACATCGCTGCTGCTCCTTGTTGTGCTTCCAGTGCTGAATTCATATTTATGCCGATGACAATGTCCCATGCTGTCACTTTTTTTTGGTTTCAAACTCTTTCAGCATGTTGTTTTTATCTTGCTCTCAGTTTGCTTGCTAAATCATTTCGTCCTTGTTATATTTCTACAGATAATGTCAGTCTCTCACCAGACCACACCGCAGCTATTGTAGTTCATTTTAAAGCAGGGGTTAATGTGAGTGTAGTGCCCATAAAAATGTGTGTGTGTTCAACGTCCCGTTTCCAACGATTCCCAGGTACACCTTCACTGGCATCTACACTTTCGAGTCGGCGATAAAGATTTTCGCGAGAGGGTTCTGTTTAGTGCCGTTCACCTTCCTGAGAGACCCGTGGAACTGGCTCGACTTCATCGTCATCATCATGGCGTGAGTAGCCGTTTCAAAACAGTCTGTGTGATTTAGCTAAACCCCCTGAGACCAGTCATCCAGACTGGACGCCGGTTTTGTCTGAAAACAACACGAAGTCACTTTTAATTCACTGAGCTGCATCTCCATTACAAATGTGATGACATTTCGCCAATGTTGAAAAAGCACAATTTGCAATAGCGGTGTTTCCGCTAAAGAAACATAAGTTTGTTCACGTGATAAATCATTAAAACCATGTCGCACCATCATGCTCCAACTACCTTACTTCTTGTCCTATTCCTTGTCTTTTCTATCGTTTCCAAAAGTTTGAAATGTTACCTTGAAGATGCTTGAAAAGTGCTTGAATTTTACTGTGGGAAAAGTGGACAAACCCTTACTTTACATCACTAAACTGGTAACAATTAATTTTAATAATTTTTGAGCCACACTTAGACAAACTGAGGCAACCAGAGAAATAATAAACTCATAATGCGCTCCATCTTAAAGTTGCACCCGTCAGTTTGTGTTGTGATAATCCTTTATGATATAAACTTTCCCTCCCCTCCTGTCTTTGCACCAAATTCCAGCTACGTCACTGAATTTGTCGACCTTGGGAATGTCTCTGCGTTAAGAACCTTCAGAGTACTGAGAGCTCTGAAAACCATCTCAGTCATCCCAGGTGAGGCAGCCGTCACCTCCCGGCTTTTTCCTATGTAAAGTTACACAGTAAAAAATGAGCAGCAAGATTTTGGCTTATTTAACAAATTATAGAGAAATAAATGACAGTGTTCATGTTTTAAAGTCATATTTTCATCATGTTATTCACACATTCATAAATGTCAGAGTTCCAAACTAATATTTGAAAGCTAAGTGTTTAGATTTCAAACTAACTTTTTAGTTTGGAAACTAAATATTTATCTCAGTCTTAAATATTTAGTACAGAAATAAATATTTAGCTTGTGAATTAAATATTTAGTTGGGAGTTAAATATTTAGTTTCTGAACTAAATATTTTATTTATTAATTAAATATTTAGGAAGATAAATATTTGGTTTAAATTTAAGACTTACTTTAACATTTAGTTTGGAACTAAGTATTTAGCTTGTGAACTAAATATTTATTTAGTTCACAAGTGAACTAAATAGTTTTCTAAATAGTTCTAAATAGTTGCTAAGATACTTTTCAATATATAGATTGAAAACTAAATATTTAGCTCCCAACTAAATGTTTAATTTAAAATAACTAAACACTAAATATTTAGCTTTTAAATGAGTAGATGTCAAAGGTTAGTTTGGATCTCTGGCATGTGAATAGCATGAAAATGTGACTGAAAAAAGAACACATTTATTTCACTATGACAGGCTAAATAAACTATAAAATTCTGCTGTTGATTTTTTATCGTGTAAATTTACAAACGCCACCCCATCTCTTCTCAGTCCTATTTTAAAAAATTTCCCACACCGTATAAAAATCAGCATTGGTCATCTCTTTTTTGCTGTGTTTCCTCCTCCGTCCAGGTCTGAAGACGATTGTGGGCGCTCTGATCCAGTCTGTGAGGAAGCTGGCCGACGTGATGATCCTGACCGTCTTCTGCCTCAGCGTGTTCGCCCTCATCGGCCTGCAGCTCTTCATGGGTCTCCTGCGACAAAAGTGCGTCCGGAACCTCGACCACTGCATCAACTCTTCGTACACCCCCAACACCACCTTCATCTGCAACAACCGGACCTGGAGTTCGCCGGACGACTTTCTCACCAACGAGGGTCAGCCTTAAACGACTGTAGCTACGTTTCTATTACAAATGTGCACAAATCTTTCAGATAATCTGCTAATGTCAAAAGAAAAAAAAAACACAATTTCACATTTGTTTTTATTAAATAAGAACTGAAATTAAAATCACAGGCGAATAAGCTTGTTCACGTGATAAGTTGTTAAAAAATCTTGGCAACGATGGATGTAAACAGTTACAAGAGACGTAGTCATATGGAACACCACTGAGGTCATAAATGTATGAACATTTCCCTTTACTTTGACGCATGTACAACAGGCAAACAATGTTAAAGTACTTGATGTTTACGCGTTAAAATGTCACTCGTAATTAGTAGATAAACAACGTTGACATCACATCAAAAACGTGTAAACTAAGCCTTTTTATGTCTCTTCCACACAACATCACGTTCTGGTAGTCTGAGTCGAGTTTCTTCTCATTGGCTGTTTCTGATCCTCGGCCAAACCACTAACATGCACTGCAGACATTGTTTACACGTTAACTATGTGTGACATGTTCACGTGTGTTTGACGCGTAAACATCAAATATTTTACACAGTGTTTGCGTGTTGTATATGTGTCAAAGTAACACACGTTTATGACACCTGTGGCGTTCCATAGTAACATATCAGCCATCAGAGGGAGGCATCGGCGTCTCCTTGGAAGCGGCCACGTACGTGGTGTTTTGGGGAAAATGCAATCGACGATTTTACAGAAAAGTTATAGATTCAACACTTTGGAAAGACACACAACTTTCTATGAACTGTGCACTGCTGTGTGAGTTCTGGTGGATCCAGCTGCACATTATCTGAACCCCCCCCTCATCCCCACTCCCGAAAACAAACCATCATCCTCCTACTACTTCCTGTTGTCTTCTTGGTGGTTTTTGCCAGTAGTAACAACAGACTGTTGATAATCCAGCTATTTTCAAGTCACATTAGTGACAGGAAAAAATTGTTTTTATTGCAGTTTTGTGAATACACCTGTTTCGATATGGCCGAAAAACCACCTCAAGAAAACTTTTTGGCGAAACTTCAAAATCGACATGTTTCCACTAAACAAATTTATTTTTTTGTAATTTCAATTTGTGCAATTCTATGGTTAATGGAAATGCAGCTATTGCCTGCTGTCTACAAGCACTTCACACATGCACACTGCTCTGCTTTCACTGAACTGTCACTCTTCCTCCCTTAGATAATTTCTACAAAGTTGAAGGGCAGAAGGATGCTTTAATATGTGGATATGGAAGCGATGCAGGGTAAGTGAATCTGCGCTTATTAATAATCTGCGGGTTGTTACGTAATGTTGAAATGTTTACCGCCGTAATGGCTTCTGATCCCCTGCATGCTGCTCTGTACAATAGGACACGGAAGCTCGGAGGCAGTTTTCATGTTGGCATGAAAACACAGCAGGGGTTGATTTCCTGTTGGCTCTAACATTACAGTCACTGTGGGGCTTAATGCACAGGGCTGTGATCTCATCAGAGGGACGGGCGCGCCATGAGAGAAGCTGCTTAATCACGTCAGCGCTGCCTTTACAAAGAAACTCTGAGTTGACAGCTGGAGAAGAGCTGTCATCACAGATTTTGTCCCCCAGAAAGCCAAATAAATATAATTAGGTTCACTGGAATTGATCACAGCACTTTAAAATGATGTTTTGTTAATGTTTAGAGAAGATCCTGTATTCAGTACTACTACTGATTAAAATCTAAAAACAGCCTTTTACGTTACATAGTGGATTTCAGTTATTTCTTACCCTGTAGTAAGTCCAAGTTAATTTAATTAATCAAAATGCAAATCAAGAATTTATTTTCCTTTTGAGCGGACGACTGTTCCCAGTCGAAGGTTTGGTCGTGTGTTCACTCGATGTTTTGCTATAAGTGAAATAATCTAGCAGGGGAACTCATCTGTTTTCAAATGTTGACTGAAAACATTTTCCTATATCTTGCTGAAAAGTTACTTCTAAGTTAGTTTTGTCTTATTTCAAGCGTACAAAGATGTTTGCACTAAAAACTGGACAAAAAATTAATTGGTGAGGTTTGGTGTTGTTGTTGCAGTCTTCATCCATTTTCCTTTCTTCTATTCTTCTCTCCCACTCCCCTCACTTTCCTCACTTTCTTTTTCGTCCCTCTGTCCATTTTGGTTGTACGCTAAAAAAGCCAAATCTGATTTGAGTAAAGTTTTATTAAGACGGTCAAGCGGAGCGTCGCAGCGAGAGCTGTGTTGCCACGGACACGGTGGAGGTAGTTAGTCGCATAATTATCCTGCATCAGAGAGCAGCCACCCTGCCGTTTTTAATCCCACTCGGACGGCAACCTCCCAAAAAACACAGGAACTTAATCTCCTTGAGGAGGAAAATCTGATCCAGTAATTTCTGCTGAAGTCAGAGTGAAAAGAGAGGAGGGAACTTGGGGTAGAAGTTATGTCATTAAGCCTTTTAAATAGTAGGTTAGTGAGCTCAAACTAGACATTCAAGCTAAACAGCTGGATGTTTTGGGGGTTTTTTACCAGTCATGGTGACTTTATACCTTTTTGTCAACTAGTTTTGTTATCTCACTTTGATTTTACCGTTGCCTTATCATCAAAAGTGATGTTGTGTGTAGTATTTTTTTTTTGTATTTCCTTGCCATTACACGGCTTCAAAATGAGATGACACAGAATCACAACATGGATGACAGATTATAGGTCAAAAGGGCTGCAAGGTAGCTTATGTGTTTGTTTGCAAATTACGTGGCAGGCTTTTAACTTATGCGGCGTTTCTGGTGGAACTTTGTGCGGCGGACTGTGGAGACAGGCAAGATACTAAGCAGGTCAGGACGGAGGACGTAAAACACAGAGGATGCTTAATCTTTTGAGTGTATTCCAACAAGTAATCCCTGAGTAGATTTCCAAATTAAAGCTCTGGATACGTTATGATGACACACACTGTCACACACATGCGCAGAAGCAGGCACCGCTGAGCGGTCAGAAACACAGGACTTGTGCTAATTCAAATTCTACTTTCAACCTGGTCACTAAAGTTTGTTGTATATTGTTTGCCTTTAGAGTTGAGGATGTTTTTCATCAGTCCTGGTATTGTGGTTAGGCCTGTTCTTAGCCTCTTGCATCTCAATGCCCACTGGGAAGTCAGGATTGTTACTGATTGAACTGACATGTTTAACTTTTGCCCTTTGCCTCGCGTGGAAACCCGGCAAATTTTCTTCTGCTATTCATTAAATTATATGAACTGTAAGATTCTGAGTTGATCTCCTGGAGTAAAAACTGAAAAGCATGTACAGCAGCCTCACCAAAGATTATTAGAGTTTATTTTGTTATTTTGAAATGCAAACTGAAAAAAAATGCCCTCATGTCTTCTTCTGAGGTTTTTATTTTGTCTCCTTTAGCAGTTCTTGCTGCAGCACCACCACAGGCAGAGGAGTGAACTGGTTTTTCAATAGTTTGGTTCGTCTGACACAATGCAGTGCCAAGCGAACATTTGACACTGTGAACCAACATTTGTTACCTGTAACATCCATTCATGCACAAGTCGTCTTCTTGTGCATGAATGGACGTTTAACCTAACGTGAGCATTACAAATGCGCACACACACACAAGAAAAACACAATTTCACAATTGCGGTGTTTCTATTAAAATCGCACGATGACGGGATACGTCATTATAAAAACCCACCGCCGCTCCATCATCCACCCACTTCTTCGTAGCGTCTTTGTCATGTCCACCAGTCGTAACATCTGATTATGACACGACTCGTGTGATTTGAAAAAAGTGTTTCCATTGCAGTGTTGCGAAATTCACTCATTTGACACCAGCCAAAATATATTCCAATTTATTGAATATGACTATTGGAATAAACAGGATCCGGTACAAGAAGACGTTTCCAGCCTCACACAGACATCGCCGCCCTTGACGTTAGTCAGAATTTCCGCTTAGCAGCCTGGTGAGACCTGCAGCTGTTCTCACAGCCGTGCTACGCCGCCCAGATGTTGGCCAGCCATTATGAAATTATTCCCCTCTCACATTGACATGGAAGTGCAGCTTGTCCTCAGCTGCAGGACTTAAATATCTGCTGTAACGCCACTGCGCTAACAATGAAGATCAGGGATGGAGGCACGGAGCCAAACATTTTTTGAAGCTGTTATTTGATATCCATCTGGCTGAGTGTAATCTCTTTAACTCGGGTTTATTTTAGAGCTTCGGCCTGAAACAGGTTTTATGTGCTGAATAGGGTGGGGGGGGGGGGAAATGGTGCTAATGGAGCTGCATCCACTTACTGTATCAAAGATGAATAAAAACATGTAGATATGAGCGGTCTTTTTAACCTGAGTGCCAACAGAACTGCATCTATCCTGCCTGCTTCTAATGTATCAATCCTGTCATTTAATAATCTGTCTTCTTCTTCTTAATTTTACATCCGTCACAGGAAGTGCCCGGATGGATTTGATTGCCTCAAAGTGGGAAGAAATCCAAACTACGACTACACCAGTTTTGATACCTTCGGTTGGGCTTTTCTGGCACTCTTCCGACTCATGACCCAAGACTATTGGGAGGAGCTCTTTCACCAGGTACAGCAGATTTTAATTCATACATAAATCATATCGAAAGTTTACTGGTTATTTTTGGGAATGGATTCGATCAAAGGATATTGGTGCTTTAGAACACCAATATCAGGAGGTAAATCAAATTGAAAATCTGAAAGTACTCGACAAAATGTTGTCCAATTTCACTGAGCTTGAATGTGTTGCCACAAACTATTCTCGCAAAACTGGTAGAGACTTATCCTAAAAGGCACAAGATGGTTCCCCAACATATTGACTCATAGGGTCCAAATGCCACAATCTTTATTTGGGAAAACAAAAAAATAAATAAAATTGTGCAGTATTTATTGTCGGTAAAAGTAGAGATTATCTCTTGTCCTCTGTGCATAACTTTACCATGTGAATTTTCCTCAGACTCTGCGCTCAGCAGGGAAAACCTACATGGTTTTCTTTGTGCTGGTGATCTTCCTCGGCTCCTTCTACCTGGTGAACCTGATCCTGGCCGTGGTGGCCATGGCCTACGAGGAGCAGAACCAGGCGACCATCGCTGAGGCCTGGCAGAAAGAGAGGGAGTTCCAGCTGGCCATGGAGCATCTCAGACGAGAGCAAAGAGTAGGTGCAAGATTCTCCTTGGGTGTGTGTGTGATACGATGTAAGGACCATTTTTCCAATACTGTACTGTGAGGACTGTCTGCTCCATATGGGGCCCAAAGCCAAAGCCCCATAAGAAGAGGTGTTGTACTTGGGTTAAGGGTAAAGTTTGGATGTTATGAGTAAGATTTGGTTAAGGTTAGGATTAGGAATAAACTAGTAATGATTAGGCATAAATGCAGCTACTAAAAGGAATAGAAGTCAATACAAAGCCTTCAGTTTGCATAGAAGTACAATCTTCAGAGTTGTACATATACAAAGATGTGTGTGTGTGTGTGTGTGTGTGTGTGTGTGTGTGTGTGCTTTCAGTTTTCAATTATAAATTACTCTGTCGCATAATTTCTGTCTGTTTGAAGTTGGCAGCCAAAAGACAAGCACAGGAGACAGACTCCATTGTGTCGCCGGAGTTATCGCCGTTCTGTCTGAAAGCAGGAAGTATTCGCCGCAGTAGAAGAAGAAGATCTCACAGGACTCTTTCAGAAGAGACAGCAGCTGAAGCTGCTGAGGAGAGGCTGGAGCCAGTGGATGAAATTGTGGTACAACAAACAAGTTTCACCCAGTTGTTGAGGTTGTACCCTACATTAGCTAATGACTTCCTCCCGTTTGTCTTTCTCTCTCTGTAGCCTCCTCTGTCCCCTCTGCCAGTCCACCCTCTGCTGGCCACGCTCTCCTCTCACCCCCTCAGCACCAGGAGAGCCAGCCAGAACAGCATCTTCAGCTCCTTCCGCCCTCGCAACAACTCGGAGGCTGACTTCGCGGACGACGAGTACAGCGTCCACGGGGACGTCTTCAGGAGTCGCGCCAGTTCAACCGTAACGCCCTGGAAGAAGAGGACGGGCAGCGTCAGAAGCCACTGCTCCCAGGTGTTGACCCCCAGCCTCAACATCAACGGACGACTCAACGTCTTGCTGGACCAGAACGGCATCGCCGCCATGGGTCTGCTCACCCCGACCTGCGTGCCGACTCACAGCATGGAGAAGTTGAAGGAAGAAACAGTAAGAACAGAACAGACAAAATACCCAGGTGTTTCGCATTAAATGGGAGAAAATAAGGCTAAAACGGTTAATCACCTTAATTACGGTGAATGAAGATTAATTGATTATTGGACTAATCATCAACTTGGCTGATTAGAAATTGATTAATTGCAAGGTTTCCCCCAGAAAACCTGCTAAGCCCGGTGGTTGGGCGCTATGGTGGTCATTCATCCAGCGACCTGTTGAATTTTTGAGTTAAAAAATGTTTAAAGTTGACAGGAAATTTGAAAATATCACTTTATAGTTATGTATTATTGAAAGATTGGAAGACTAATACCTGAAACACCAACTATAGAATCTTAAAAAATGCAAACATTTTAAAAAGACTTAAATAAATAAGCAATGCTTAGCCTGGTGGGGGGCACAAGTAAAGCCTGGTGGCCCGCCAGGCTTACAATACACTGGGGGAAACCCTGAATTGTTAGCTGGAGTACACAGACTCCACAAAAGGTTATCTTCTGAATCAACAACTTATTTGGAAGAATAACTGCAAAATATATATACATTTTATAATTAAGATAAAAACACCTGAATCTGTAAATATATTGTACCCAAAACTCTTCAAGTTTTAGCTTCACCTGGTTCAAATTCACCAAATGAATCCTATTGTATTGCATTTTAAGCAAAAAAAGTTTATTTTTTTATTTAAAAAGAAATTTTATGATTTATTTGCATCTTTTAATGTATTTTAGCATCGCATTAAAAAAGTCATAAGAGGTTAATTAAAAAAATCTGCAAAATGTGCCAGTTTTTTATCCGATTATTCAGTTGGATAATTAGGAGAAAAATCAATTATGAAATCAGTTGTTAGCTAGAGCCCTAAAAGAAAACAAGTATCGACCAAAGCAATATATTGGAGGACATTTATTTATTCCTTGTCTGCCAGAAGCCATGCAGCGGAGTGGATCCGGCCCCCAGGCCTCTGCTGCAGCCTTCGCCCAGCGTCACGGAGCGCTGCTCTGTGCGCAGGAAACGAACTCACAGCTCCTTCAGCTTCTTCAGCGACGCCATGGATGGTGGGTCCATTTCACTCCTCCAATAATATCCAGGAAACTAATTGAAAAAATTATTATTATTATTTATTTATTTTTTTTACTTTTCCACCTGATTCGGGTTTCTCTTGCAGAGCTGGAGGAATCAAGGCAGAAGTGCCCCCCTTGCTGGTACGCCTTCGCCAAGAAGTATTTGATATGGGACTGCTGCCCCTGGTGGCTGAAGTTAAAGGAGTGTGTGAAGTTCATGGTGATGGATCCTTTCCTGGACCTGGGGATCACCATATGCATTGTGCTGAACACCCTGTTCATGGCTCTGGAGCATTACCCCATGACTGATGAGTTCAACACCATGCTGTCAGTGGGCAACCTGGTAAGAGACTCTTCAGTGATAGGAGCTGGAACATTTCCTGCATTCAGCCCACTTTCCCTCAAGTGCTGTCAGGTTAGCAGATACGAGCCGGCTGAAGAGGAAAATGGTTTTCAAAACTGATATTGTATTTCAACAATTGACGAGAAGGATGGGGTTTTTTTTAGCTTCTAGGATGATGGGTCCAAGGTCCTGTTGTTGAGACATTTGCCTTGTGAGAAGCAATGTTTCATCAGGAAATGGTGGGCAGATTTAGTGTATTTGTATAGTAAAAGTTAATAACACTATTATTATCCCCTCAAGTAGGGGTGGGTGATGTCCACTGTAAAAAAAAGACTCTACTTTACAGTAAAGTAAAGTAAGTATTTTACCTAATACCTACTTAGGTAAAAGTAGGTATTTTGTGGTTGCCAGAATTTCACAGTGTTTTTTTTTTACTGTAAAATTAAGAGTTTTATCAGGATATTTTGTGGCAATATTGTGATTACGATAAAAGTGACCTTGAGAACCATTTTATTACTTGTATTACACAACACCCAGAAACACAAGCCAAAGGATAATCAATGAGGGACTAACATCCATCATTTGTTAAAACGACTCAAGCATTGTTAACGTCACAGTTGGCTATTTTATAAACTTTAAAACGTCTTTATTTTTGGATGGAGCACACACAAGCCAATGTTTGTTTACACAGGAAATGGAGGTCTGGGTTATTGATCCTCATAACTTTAGAAATTTAGAACTGTTCCTTTCCTGTTTATTTTGTTCAGGGCAGTAACTTAACCCTTTTTTTTCATTGTATGCAATTCTTGGGTTGCAACGTTTTAAAATTGCACGATTGATTGGGCCTTAAAGCCTAAAAAGTAGACATTTTGCAGTAATTGATGAGGAAACTGTTGTATTTTTAGAGGTAGATACGAATTAAAGGGTTTCTAATCCAACAATGTCCTCTGTGTATTTTAAAGAACTATAATGCTGATATAATATAGAGCAAATTCTTTCCAGGTTTTCACAGGGATCTTTACAGCTGAGATGGTGTTGAAGCTCGTTGCCCTGGACCCATATTACTACTTCCAGCAGGGCTGGAACATCTTCGACGGCGTCATCGTCTGCCTCAGTCTGATGGAGCTGGGCCTTTCCACAGTGGAGGGACTGTCTGTCCTGCGCTCTTTCAGACTGGTACAAGAAACCTTCCGCTCTCGGATTGTGTTGCATTGTTCCGCTTTGCATTGTTCAGATAGATAATAACAAACAAACAAACACATGTTTATCTGTTCTTTATCCATCAGCTAAGAGTGTTTAAGCTGGCAAAGTCCTGGCCTACTCTCAACACTCTCATCAAGATCATTGGGAACTCTGTGGGCGCCCTGGGGAACCTGACGCTGGTGCTGGCCATCATTGTTTTCATCTTCGCCGTGGTGGGCATGCAGCTGTTTGGCAAGAACTACCAGGACTGCGTGTGTAAGATCGCCTTTGACTGCCAGCTGCCCCGCTGGCACATGAAGGACTTCTTCCACTCCTTCCTGATCGTGTTCCGGGTGTTGTGCGGCGAGTGGATCGAGACCATGTGGGACTGCATGGAAGTGGCCGGCCAGCCTCTCTGCATCCTGGTGTTCATGTTGGTCATGGTCATAGGGAACCTGGTGGTAAGTCACAAACAATTACTTTGTTCACTTTGACCTATAGTCTCACACCTGTTGAGAGTAAATAATTCTGTTTTAGCTAGTTGCAAAGCTAAAACTAAAGGAAATGACATGTTAGGAAATGTCCTCAAAGCTAAAGTTAACGCATCTGACACACTAGCTTAGATAGAGGCTAACAAAAAGAATGACAAAGTTTTGTTTAATGCCATTTTGTCCTGCTAGCCCCTAAAGGTAGCATGAGAAATGGACCAGCTGTATTTTGGTAATGAAATTCAACTCACTGACTCTTCTTCAACCTCATACATCAAGAACTCAGCACGGAGAAAGGATAATTCTCCTTGAAACAGTGTTTCAAGGGTCCTACTCCCAAGAAAGTCCATTTTTCATACTGAACCATTTTGTTCACCTACGTCATGTCTGACATTATCAGTTTAGGGCAACGAAGCCAAGAGACGCACCTTTTTTTTTTCATTAAATCCTTATTTCACCATAAAACTACACTGTACTCTTCAATTTAGGTGCAAAACACCTCAGTCAATTTAGTTACATTCAATTACACAAATAAAAATGTCTATTTATTTATTCTCAACTCACAATTTCCTGGTTTTAATCCTGACGTCTCAGACGTGTCGATAGTAATCCATGGCAGACATTTTTAGAGTTTGTTCTCAAGCGAAAGATGACTTTCATCCATAGATTATGAATTTCAGGTGATACTAGAGCGCTTTGATGGAAGCATGGTACTTTCATGTACAGTGGACCTGGGCGGGTTAGGAGCCACAATTAGATCAAATCTGTAAATACTTGAGATTACCTCTAGAAACACTTATGTCTGATTGTTTTAATAGTTTAAACATCAAATATAACTTAAATCTGCAGCGGGTACGTTTTATAAAAAATACTGATTTTTGTGTTTGTTGAATTTGTCACCATATTGTGACAGTTTGGTGTCAGACAGACAATATGTGAAAAAATCGATCTCTTCCACCTTCTCCCAGTGCTAACTAGAAATGTTTTTATTTAATAATAATAATAATAATAATTATAATTATAATAATTATAATAATAATAATAAATTTAATTTATAATGCACTTTTCATTAATAAAAATCTCAAAGGGCTTCATGGTTCATCTAAAAACATAAAATCAACAATCAAAAACAATAAAAAAAAAGACTGTCAAATAAAAGTGGAGAAGGCTTGTCTAAAGAGGAAAGTTTTCAAACCAGTTTTAAAATCGGACAATGATTGCGGGGCTCTCAAATAGTCCGGGAGAGAGTTCCAAAGACGAGGAGCAGCCACAGCAAATGCTCGATCACCCATAGTCCTTAGTCTTGATCGAGGAAGGTGGAGAAGATTGCTGGATTGGGATCGTAGGGGTCTAGAAGTTGAATGTGAAGTAAGGAGGTCCTTCAGGTAATCCGGTGAGGTTCCATGTAGACAGTGATGGGTGATAAGTGCAATTTTATACTGAATCCTATAAGTTACAGGAAGCCAGTGAAGCTCGTAAAGAGTTGGTGTGATGTGATCAAATTTACGAGCTCTCACTAGCATCCTACATTTTACATTTTAATACCAATGTTATTTTTTTATACCCTGCAATAAGTGACCTTACAACTAAACCTGTCTTTTGAGAGTTGACTAAGTTTTAGATGTTTCCATTTCCATTTTTATTATTTATCTTTGGTTATGAATTCCAAATCTTTGAGGTTGGAAAGCCTCTGCGTCATCACCCTAATCTTCAACTCCTTCCACTGATTCTCTATCAGATTCAAGTCAGGACTCTTTCTGGGCCTCCACAAAATACTAATATTACTTCCAATCAGAAGAAATATGTTGGCAACATTAAAATATTGCTTCAAATCTGCCAGGGGGGTGAATAATTGTGGGATAAACTGTAAATATTTTGGGTAGGGAATGGAAAACTCTTGGATTATGTGTCTTTTTTTTCTCTCTTATTAAAAATGATCAGGGTTTATCTTAGTCAGTCACATTAAACTCTTAATACCTCACACATAAGAGGCAGACTTGTATTTAAGACGCGCTACTGCTTCTTCTAGCTGGTGGAAAAGCAAGAGAGCGGCCGGTCGGCATGTAGCGGTTTCTGTTGCATTGTTTTACGTGCAGATCTCATTAGTGCCTGTCGGCTGCCATGCTAGGTCAAAAATCCACTTAAAACTGTTCTCTTATTGGATTTCACTGCACAGAAACCTTCTGTAGATGATAATCGTGAGGAAGCAGACTATCTAAAGGTTAATCCAGGGTGCTTTGGGGGGGCGAGAAGAGGCTGTTTATCACAAATCATCCCATAACTGTGTGGCTCAGCAGCTAAAGATGATCCTTACCAACTGTGCGTGTCACACACACGCACACACACTTCCTGTTCTTGTGTGTGTGCGTGTGTGTGTGTGTGTGTGTGTGCGTGCGCATACAGCCCACACACACCAAGCCAGCTGACAGATTACTTTTATGTCGTGTCCTTTGTGCCTTGACTTAAAAGGGGGATGAAACAGCTGATTCCATATGTGATCATATATTGTTGAATAACCTCCTGAGCTACCAAGCAGGATTTAGCGATGTTGACAAATACGTGAGACACGTCCGGTATTATTTTTACTCACTCCTTTATGTGCAAAGCCTGTTTCACGTTGTGCTTTTACAGCACAATTGCACAGTGAAGATATGAATATGATTTAATCTCAATAACTCCATTCTTGCTCTACTTATCAGCTTCTGACAAGTTTTCATTCCCCATTCAATCGTTCAATGAACCACAGCCAGTTTCCCTGTCTCTGCTCAAGAAAAGCCTCCCCTCAGTATGATGCTGCCACTGCCATGTGCTACTGCCTGAACCATAAATTCTCCCGGGAGTTATTGTGATAAACGACAACATTTGTTGTTTTGAGAGAGCTTTTCAAGCAAAGTATTGATAATGTAATGGCAAGTCTCCAAAACCAATAAACTCTGATTTTATAAGGAACACTTGTCACTGGAACTGGAAGATATTTCAAATATCCAAAATAAAACCCAACAACTATTAAAAAAAGGAAATTAAACCGTGAATAACGTGGATTATAAACAGAATTGTCCTTCAAAAAATACTAAGCATCAGAATGGAAATTATCGAGCTCATTTTAATTTATCAAGTTAAGTTTATTTCTGTAGCGCATTTCAGCAGCAAGGCAGATCAAAGCGCTTTACACCATAAAAACATCATGCAGACATCACAAGGTTTCCTTCAGAAAAATCACTAAGCCCGGTGGTTGGGCGCTAATCCAGCAGTCTGTCGTGTTTTTGAGTTAAAAATGTTTTAAAGTTGACAGGAAATTTGAAAATATCACTTGATAATTATGTGTTATTAAAATATTGGAAGATTAACAGCTGAAAACCAACTAGAAAGTCTTCAGAAAAAAACGTTTTAAAAAGACTTACAAAACATAAAAAGAAATGCTAAGTCTGGCACAAGTAAAGCCTGGTGGCCCGCCAGGCTGATGATACACTGGGATAAAACCTGCATCAACTATAAAACAAGCAATAAACATTACATTCTGTCAGATACCATAATTAAAATCAAATATGTTGATCAATATTTCAGTTTCTACTAATCAAAGGCCGTTCTAAACAAGCGGCTTTTAGCCTTGATTTGAGGACCTCTGTTTTTCTGCTTACTGTGCGATTAATTGATTAATTGCACAATTTATTGCAACAGGCTTACATATGTCATGTTCTGTTCAGAGTGATGTTGTAAGTAGCTTCGTGTTTCACATAAAATCCCACAAGATATCTCTAAGTTTGCGGATTTAAAGTGATCAAATTTGGAAAGCTTCAGGATGCACCGATGCTTTTTGAACGGGGTTTTAATTGAAAATCTGTATTCTTAACAGAATTTGTCTAACCCTTGTATAAAATAACATGTTTTTCCATCCCCAGGTGCTGAATCTGTTTCTTGCCCTGCTGCTCAGCTCCTTCAGCTCCGACAACCTCTCCGCTCCTGAAGAAGACGGGGACCTGAACAACATCCAAGTCGCCATCGGCCGCATCCACGCCGGCATGTCGTGGCTCTGCGGGAGCGTCGTTGACCTCTTCAGCCACGGCTTCAGGAGTCAAAAGCAGAAGGCCAAAGAGGCCGGTCAGGCTGAGCAGATGGTCGGAAATCACATAGAGAGCAACGGGGGGATAATCGGAAGCTACGGAGAAAAGTACATCCTGCCTGAAGAGGATAGTTACATGACCAACCCCAACCTTACCGTCGTGGTTCCCATCGCTCCTGGAGAGTCCGATGTGGAGTTTCTGGAGGAGGAAAATTCAGAGTCGTCAGAGGATGAGGACAAGCCGGTAAATTCAGATTCTCTGGCATTTTATATTTTGTTCTAAAAATAATTTTTCAAGAAAATAGGACTTAAAAAACTCTGATTCCCTTTGCTAATTGGCTTGAATTCTATAGAACAGTATCTATTGTTTGTGTTTGATTTTGTTTGTGTTTTGCGTTGCATTATTCTGCACAACAAGGCTCCTGCAATGTTACGACAATGTTGCTTCTGACTCGCTTACAAACTGCTAAACAAACTACAACATAACCTGTAACCTGCTGCGAATCCTCTCCGCTTTCATCTTAACTCTGAGCACCCGAAGAAAATTTCACTCAAGCGTTTTGTCACCTCACACAATTGTTAGTCTTCACGCTTTAAAGCTAAAACTTAGTTGAAGCTTCTCCTAATTCATTTTCTTGCATTCACTTCTGCCAGAAATTATACTGACTGTGACTGAACTGAAATAAGTCCAGATATCCTTTGGTGTATTTTCCCAATTTTCCCACATTTTGCTTCTTTTATCTGAATCAATAGTTTGCTGAGGGGTTACAAAGGATCAGAAGGGTCTCGTTGTACAAAATTGTTCTGGTGAGATCCTGGAAAGCTGCTTTAGTTTAAGAATGGGCACATTTAAGAATTGTTTGTTTTTAGCAATTTTTTTCTAAAGGTGTGGAACAATTTTTCTGGAATTTTAACAGGGCTGTGTACCACTCGGTGTAAAGCAAAGTTGGTGAACTCACACGCAAAGATGTGTACAATCATCCTCTTTTAGCTTTTTATGTTTTGTCAAAAACTTTGTGCTTTATCACAATTTTATGCAATAAATAAATTTAAAGTAGAACCAATAGCCCTCAGCTGTCACTCAATTAGCTCTTTGAAGATCTTTAAATTTTCTTAAAAAATATTTGAACAAACAGAATCATGTAGATCAAGAAACACACCAGGGATTTAAAAAAACAACCTTGAGGCTGAATACAAATGCATAACAAATTTAATTTTTTTTTGTAAAAATATGTTTGCACGGAACTGTAACTACTTTGAGTACAACTATGACTATTAATTAGTAGTGCAATTATTTGTTTTCCAGTTGAATTGAACAGGAGATAAATGACATTAAAGGGGAAATGTTTGTTTTTTTATGATTCATCATTACCAAATTTTTTTTACATCACAAAAATCTAACATTGGAAGAAAGGTTTGTAGATTGTTTTGTCGCTACATGGGCAATGTGTGGTTTTCTGCACTGTGAGCCAGCTAGCTTTAGCAGTTAGCTTAGCTGCACAAATAAAAAAAAAAGCTGCATCTTTGTGGAATGGACTCGCAGGCCACAGTTTAGTTATTAAGAAAACTGTAATTCCCACAGTAATTATATGTTTTTGTTTATTCCTTTAAAAAAAACATCTAACAAGTTAAGCCCTGCATCCTCATTCCGCCATCGCTTTCCAGCTAGCTTAAAAGTGTGTTGGAAAGCGGTATCCGGAGCGTGAGGCGTGTGTTGAGGTGGAGGTTATCTGTCTGTCTGCCTGCCTCTCTCTCTGTCTGTCTGTCTGGCGGGCGGACAGGAGTGGGCCAGATGTGAAGCCGGGCTTTGTAGAACAGATTAAGCTCCCACAGCTGAGGAGAGCCAGACGAGGCCAGGCTGAGCCGAACAGCCTGCTGTCTACGCTCCACATCACACCGCCCTCCTTCAAACCTCCATCGGCTTAGCAGAGCATCAGCAGCTGCTCACAGTTCAAAACAAGGAGTTCTGCCTGTGTAGAGCGTCAAACGCACGCACCGTTGACAGGAATACGGCTGGTAATTGGTTAGTTGTAAAAAAAAACAAAAAACAAACACGTCTTACACGTTAGTAATTCAGTTTTGGAGATATTGTTGTTGCTTGTCTTGATGTTGTCACACCACTGTTGTTTCTGCGCTGTTAGAAAACCAAAAAAATTGTCATGCTGGTAATCTGGTCCCTAGGTCCTGTGATTATTCCTGGATTAAACTTCTTCGTACCCTTTTTATTGGATTGAGTCTGCACCTCCTTCCTGAAAAAATCATTGGAAATATGTTGCCCTTACTAAACAGGAAAATCTCATCAAAATTGACTCTGAACAGCATCCCGGTACTGTGGTTTCCGCACCGTTTTGCGTAGAACGGTGCGGTAACTTTGGCTAACCTTCTTCTCCAGGAGAAGATCAGCCTTTCGGAGGGCAGCACCGTGGACATGAGGAAGCCTGGAGAGGAGGAAGACGACCTATCGGAACTGGACGATGACAGTATGGAGCCGGAGGATTGCTTCCCATACTGTGAGTAAACTTCATACAACTTTCCGAAGAACTGTCATATTTAGAAATAACATTATGGTGTTCACCTGGAGAACGGCCTGCCCTGGAGATGCAACAGTAAAGCTGTCTAAGATAAGGGACGGAGCAGACGGTGCTCTTTAGGAAGCTTAGGTTCTCCACTGTTTGCAGCTAGCTGCTGTATATCTTCTGTAAGTCCATAGTGGACATCTCTTCTGCCATTACCTGTTGGGGTAGCAGCATCAAAAAATGGGACTTAAAAAAGCTAAACAACTTGATGAAGAATGCTATTTCTGTGATACAGACAATGCAGCAAGTAAGCATACACAATCTGCATGATGTCTGCCTGTCCTTAGAAAGTCTTAAATTTATGCATCTAAAATTAAAGCCTTAAAAAGTCTTAAATTCATAAAAATGTAAGTTGGACATAAATGCGTGGATCACAGGTCTTAAATTTTGTCTTGGCAGGACTTTTTATGTAGTTTTCTGTCACACAAAAGTTTGAATCACTCAAGGACATCTTCACTTTGTTTTGTGACTCGAGGCAGTTGAGGCTACCGCCATCAAGCTACTAATATACTGTTGTAAACCAGCTAGCAAAAAAGCTAGATACCCTGCTTTTTTGCGACTATTATAGGTAAGTGCAAATTTATTGCCAGTTTGTTTTCGCCACTGGCTCACTTCCCTCACTTCTAGCCTGCAGTCTGATCCAAAAAATACATTTAAGCTTGACCCTATGGCTGTAGAGAGAAACATGCACAAAGACGCACAGAGCCACAAACAAACTTCAGAAATGTCATAATTTATGCTATGCTGTAATACTGCAGGAGCCCCAAACCATACCTTATATTTCTATATTTTTTTGGTCTTAAAGATTAATTCAAGGTGGCATTTAAAAGGTCTTAAGTATGATGTCCTGAAACCTGCCGGTACCCTGACCTATTCAGACAGACGTTATGTTTGACACTCTTGGCCTAAGCCGTGTTTGTGCAGGTTCAGCAAAAGATCAACCACAAGTTGTAATTGGAAACTATCAGTCTGAACAAAACCCGAGGGGGAACTAAACGATGACGGTAGCCTCTTGCTACATGAACGTTTGAATATGTTTGAAATCACTGCATCAGTCAAATGAAAATTTTTGTTCAAAGCCACTTTTGTCTAACCTCCGTCTTCGATGTTGCGTCAGTGTGTCTGAGGCACTGTTCGTGCTGCGACATCGACACCAGCCGTGGCCTGGGCCAAGCCTGGTGGAGGCTGAGGAAGACCTGCTACCAGATCGTAGAACACAGCTGGTTTGAGACCTTCATCATCTTCATGATCCTGCTCAGCAGCGGGGCTCTGGTAAAGTCTGTCCTGATCGGCGGTTAGCACCAGCTGGAAATGTTTTCATGCTCCAGCGATCTGATTGGCCGGTTGTCTTCTTTTCCGGCAGGCGTTTGAAGACATCTACATCGAGAGGAGGAAAGTCATTAAAGTGATGTTGGAGTACGCCGACAAAGTCTTTTCCTACATCTTCGTCCTGGAAATGTTCCTCAAGTGGATAGCATATGGCTTCAAGAAATATTTCACCAACTACTGGTGCTGGCTGGACTTCCTCATTGTGGACGTGAGTGAATGTCTGGCTATCGTTAGTGTGATTATTTAATCTTTTTATGAAAGGTTCCTGTTTTGTTTTTTTAAACACTTTGGTATTACAGGTTGAGTCATGATTCATTACAATATAGCTGCATTTTCTGTCGGGTTGGTGCTTCATTTCAGTGCGTTGCATAAGTATTCATAACTCTTTTTGTCACATTACAATCACAAACATAAATTTATTTCTATGAGATTTCATGTGATGGTACGAAACAAGTCCATGATTTTCACGTTTTTTTTTTTTTTTTACATATGAAAATCAGAAAAGTGTTGCAGACATGTATATTTTCCTTACCTTACCTTTATACTCCGAAAAAATCTCATTGCAGCCAAATGCTTTCAGTTTTCACATCCTGCGTCAATAGCTTGTAGAACAACCTTTCACTGCAGTTGCATCTGCAGATTCTTTTGGGGAAAATTTTTCTTCCAACTTTGCAGATCTATAAACTGAAATTTTGGTTGAATTAAGGTTAACAAAGTATCTCCAGTTTAGTCACTGTGGAGTCAGTTTTCTTTCTAAATATTCCCATCTGGATTCAGATCAGATCGGCTCTTATTTTGCCACTTTTCCAATAACAGTTAAATTTGTAGTTATGTCTGAGTCATGCATCTCTGTAGCTCCTCCAGAGGTAAAATTGGCCTCTTGGCTGCTTAGAAACTTGAGATATTATTTTGTAACCAAACTTTTTCATAACTTAACAGTTTGCTGTGTTCCTTGGTCTAAATAATATTGTTTGTTTATTGTTTTATGCATGTGGAAATTTACTTTGTGTAAATTAGTTTATGTCTGACAGGCAGCTGGTTCACAGGGTGTCTGCAAATGCACCACTGCACACTTCTTTTTAATTTGAAAACTTTTCATTGACTTACTTCCTTATTTGTGTCGATATACCATCCATCCATCCATCCATCCATCCATCCATCCATCCATCCATCCATCCATCCATCCATCCATCCATCCATCCATCCATCCATCAGCTTCTGCTTAACACACAGAAGCTTGTGGTTGTAATGTGACATAATGTTAAAAGGTTCATGGGTTATGCATAATTTTGCAGTGCACTGTATTATCAGAAAAAGGGTTTGACTGTTTATTTCTAACAAGTCTAAGTCTATAAAATGTTCAACCCCTGTCTTTACCAACCCTTTAGCTATTTTTCTGTTCCCGAAGAAGCTAACTAGAGCACAGCTTACCAAACTTTTCTTTGCCATGTACCCACGAACGGCGTTGGCTTCTAGCTGGAGACGCCTTTTGCAAGTCCACAGACAATTCTACAAAATATGTGGAGAAAAATCAACTTTTAGAATGTTTTTCTTGCTTTAATTCACTATATATTGGTCATTACATTTGTTTAAATGCTGCCTCATATCTCCTAATATGAGGTTTCTTGTGCATGACCAGGAGTTGTGGTGGAAAATTTTCCTGGTAATAAAATTTCACCACAATTCTATTGATTATAAGAAAATATGTAATATTTTATATGTATTACATCAAATTTGATGTAATTTCCACAGACGTTTTTGCAGCAGTGACCTGTACAGCTACTTGCATCTTTTGCTTGACAGACATTTTCCATTTCTCATTTGCTAAGTTAGCTTCAGGAGCAAAGCGGCTCGATACATTTGACTGGCAGCCAATCAGAAAGATTAGCACTGCAAATCACATTTCAATAAATTATTTTAACTTATAATTTAGGATAATGATTGAAAGACATTACATTAAAATTTTTAAATCTAAAATAGTGGTGATTTAAAAACATTTTTAGTTTTGCTTTTTTATTTTCTCAACTTCCCTCCAACTTTCTGAGGCCCCGACTTTGAGAAGCACCGCAGTGGAGTTTCCACTGACACAAATTATGATCCTTTGTGTCAGGATTTTTTCCCAATTTTTTTGTTATTTTCTTAAGGCATTAAAAGAAGGTAGGAAAAAAAATGTTGTTGTAAAAAAAGATTTTTATTTTATTTTATTTTATGTCGGTGATAAATTATAATTTTCTCCAAATACAAAGTTATTATTTGAAAAATACATCAGCAGTATTGATCTTTAGGGGTTATCTGATGTCACAATTTCTTTTTTACCTACAAGAGTCGTCTACAGTAGAAGGAGGGACCGGGTCAGTCAGCATGCTTTGTTGTCTGTCAGCCATATTGGATTTAACAAAAATAATTTCTTGCATTTGCAGCTGATGGCCAGAAGTTGATGGTGTATTTTATGATGCATTAGTGTCCACTTCAGTGGACTGTGTGCATTTATAACATAAAAATCCACAAGACGCACAAGAAAATGGCTTTTAGACGGCTGTCCACTGTAGTGATCACTATGCATGAAAGGGTTACGTTTCACTTACTGTAAATCAGTGTGGCTTTGTGGTGCACACATCCAAAGTGGTCGAGGCGTGCAGCCACAGGCCTGACTTGACCTCTTCTGATTTCACCTGCTGTTACACAGATCGCCACAGACCGCACTATTGTTAGGGTAAGTTGCAGCTAGCAGGTCAAAGGTGAGTGTGGGATCTGGGATCACACTCAGCCCGTGTGTTTCTTCTTCACTTGCATCTGCTGCTTTGTTGTGATATTAAGGCCTCCGTCTTGTCTCTAAGCGAATCGATTGGGTATGAAATGCGAAGAGAACAAAACATGCTTGGCTTTTATATCAAAAGCAAATGCAGCGCCATGTGCTCCGAGGACTATCTACAGAAGATCTTGTTCATGCCGTGAAGGACAATAAAGTTATGAAAAGTGCCTGATCATAACAGGACCTTGCAACAATATTCATACTCTTTCAACTTTGCCACATGCAACCTCATGTCTGAGGCTGTTTCACATGGAAGGTTTAAAACATGCAATCACTCTGTGATGTAAAACTTAGAAAGGCCCAGTCAAAGTCTAGGCCTAAAGCCAATTGATCATCTTTGCTGAGACCTGAAAATTGACGTTCACAGACATTTTACATCCAATCTGATTGAGTTTGAGTGATTCTGAAAAGAGGAATGAGCAAATCCTTAATCAGAAAAGACGCAAATCCCCCCAAACACCTGCAGTGTGGCTGCAGCAAAAGGCGATTCAATCGCTGTGACTGTATTGACTCAGATGCAAATCAGAGATCCAAACGCATGTGATGCTTTATTTCAGATGTTTAGTAGTACAAAAAATGTTGTATTAGTATCACTTTCCTTCCACCAGTTTGTTATGCGTTGCATTGCGCTAGTCTGTTGAAGCCTTGAAGTTTGTGGTTGTAATTTAAGAAAATGTGGAAAAGTTTAAAAGTTATGGATACTTTTGCAAG